GGGGGGGGGGGGGGTCTCCAGACAGGAGCCCACCAGCTCATAAACAAGGTCTGGGGTGAAAGGGCTCTTACAACCCCCATTTAAAATCCCAGAAAGTGTCAATCTCAGAAACACATTCAAGTATTTGACCAAAAACAGTTTTTATTATACAACCATAATGTCTACATAAAGTCCAGATACTGGAGAAAGCATGTACGCTTCAGAAGCAACGGTTCATCATATACATTCGTTTAACAAGGGACAGAATTTAACTTAATGACTTTCAGTCAGCTGTAACAACTGCTTTCAATGCACAGAAAGATAGAGGACGACCCAACATGAGTCATTTGTCAATAAAACCTCAATGGGAATATCTTTGTTACACCGCTACTGTATAACGTTTTAAATCAATCAAAAAAACAATGGTAATCCACCCATTTAAATGGATACAGCCAGGTGATCGCCACCTTTTAGAAAAAATATTTGGTATAACAGAGGCCTTACTAGATGAGTTCACAATATGAAATAGAGAATATTTAAAAGAAATATTTCATTTCTGCCAAGAAACCAAAAAGGTAAAAATGATCCACCCTCAAACAGCGGCTTCTTTGTTTAACCTGTACACAAACTGAAGTTTAAAAACCATGTAAAAGTTTAAAAAGTGGTTTTACAAAGGAGTTATATTGGAAAGAAAGACATGGTTAGCTGTTTCCAGTTGGCTAAGCTAACTGGTAGCTCCATATATAGCGTACAGTGGTATCAGTCATCTCATCTAAGTCTAATCAAGAAAACCAATGAGTGCATTTCCCAAAATGTTCTAATGTTCTAATATCTTGTTTGTGTCATATGATGAATTGCAAACAGCAGAAATAATACAATGCGAGAAAGAGAAAAGATAATACTGAACACAGATGAGAACTTCAGATAAAAAGTCTGGATTCTATAAAACCATTGAAATCCTTCCTGATGCTTTTTGCCACATCATGCTGAAATGAATGTTCCTTCTGCATTTCTGTGTTGATTACTTCACTTCATGTTTTGAATCCAAACTGGTTAACACTGGAGCCTGTAGGGGTGCAGATGGGCAACCAAATAACACATTCACATCTTTCACAGCTGAGAAATTGGAGCCAAGACACAGGAAATGTACAAGATTGTGAGGGAAAAGCATTGAACAGCAGCAGTTTAGAGTCTCTTTGAGCAGATCCAACTCCTGTACTACTAATATAGGACTGTATGTGATGGTGGAAAAGTGGGATGACAGCAATAAAACTACATTCGAAATCAGTCTCATCTTTAGCCATGGCAGTGGTACAGACGTTCACGGCCTTTGGTCCTTCTCTGACTTTTCATCCAGCACCACAAACATGTCAGTATTTCCACTTATCCACCACTACAGTTAAAGGATAACTCTGATTTATTACAACTTGGCCATCATTTCTCTTCTCTATAATAACACTGTACTCAACAAGTTAATTGCTGTGATCTGGAGGATGTGGTAAGATCGCTAAAAAGACGTTTTGGAGGGGCAAAAAAACCCAGATTAGTCGAAGAGAGAGTTTACAGTAGTTTACAGATGACTTACTGGTTCAACTTTGACCTACTCTACAGTTTATCAGTGCAATGGGATTATTACTGACATTTCACTTCAGTTGTACCTTCAAATAAAGTAGTTAAAAGGAATAATTTCACATTTTGAGAAATTCTTGCCAAGAGATGGGTGAGCACAGCCGGTTAGATTAACTTTGCACAAAGATGGGGACGGGGAAACGTCTAGCTTTGCTCTGTGCAAAGGTAAAAAAAAAAAAATATATATATCTTGAAGCAACTCTAAAGCTCTCTAATTTAATGGTACATCTTAATTGTTGAAGCCTTTACAAAAACGTCACTTTCATTAACAGTCAAGTGGTCTGACTGCCATGTTTTTTGCCCTCTCTGACTTAGTTGTAGCTATGTTGTGAGTACAGGGTTACCAAAACTGAAAAAATGATGAAACAAGCTACAGAAGGCTGATGGATGTCGAGCTTAGACAGCTGAGCCTCAGATAGAGACTCTGCTCTACATTTGGAGCTGTCCACCGTACAGAGGATAAACCCTTTTCATACCCTCAGGTCAAACTTTAGATCTTCAGGATCTAAGAACAGCAAAGTTGTCTCCATTTTTTTATCCATCCAGAAAGTTTGGTCTTCTTCTCTTGCTGCCTTTTGACACCAAACAGAGTTCAGGTGTCAAACTAATAAAAGTCTGCTACTCAGACCACTGTTGGACGTGAGGAAAACGTTAATGTCCACGTTTCAGAGCCAGAAGAGGGCAGCAGTAAGATTCCATTTTATTCTTGGATGTCTGCAATGATTTCCACCTCCACATTGAGTCTAGTCAGACGTTTACTCATTCTCCTCTGCCTGTGTCCCTGGATGGGTTGTTAAAGCCGCTGGGGGCTGGGGCACCAAGGAGTGTCTGGGTACAGCAGACAATGGACCGACCTGAACCTGAGAAAGAGAGGGAAATGAGTGTCACAATGCCTGGAAGCTGTCCACTGGGGATTTCAAAATAAGACTGTGAATACAAGTCACACACACATACACACAATGAACAAAGCCAGGAAACTTGTCATAGTAGTAAAACATTCACAACAAGAAGTGCTTACATAAAGGAGAATTGTAGTACACATGTTTTAAAATGCTTTTCCTGGAACAGACAAAAAAATACAATATACAGTGTACTATTGATTGTTTGAAAAGATCTTTTACAATTAACCAATCAAGCTTATCTCATTACCTCTAACCCTCCCTCCCTCCCACCCTCTAGGCACACTGCCATCACTGTCTATTGACAAGGTACAGAAATAATGACAATTAGCCCAATTCAATACACAATGATACCATTACTGACTGAAGGAAGCAAAAGCAAAAGCAAAAGAAAGAAGGGAAGGGGATATATAAAAAATAAACCCCCTTATTCTCAGGAAGATAAGATTAGTTTGTGTTTTATCCTTTGTATTGTGATGTAATATGACTCCTGTACTGTAAATATTCACAGAGAAAGAACATTTTGTGACAGAAAACCCCCAAAAGACCGCTTTTATTTTGGGCCTGCAGACAATGGCTAAATCAAAGTTTCATTTTTTTCTTCATTAGCTACTCAGTGAGTGAGGATTTGCTGCTTTTCTTTGTCTTATGTGATAATTAAGTGTCTTTGCTTTCTGGTTGTGATAAAACACAACAATTTCTCACCATTTCATGACCAAACAATGAATGGGTTAATAATAAAAATAATAGTTATCCCCAGATGTACCTTCCTGCATATAGACAGATATTTTACCTCGTGGGATCTTCATTTATTGAAAATGCTCCTTTCAGGTTGACAGTGTTTCTGCTGTTTTCCACTGTGCCGTAGCTGAGCGTCACCTAAAGAGGGGACAGCAAAAAGAAAACACAGCTGTTTAGACAGCTGGCAGATCAGTATGTCTGTTTGTGTAAGTGTGTGTGTGTGTGTGTACCTGGCTGTGTATGTCTGACACAAGCCCCAGGTTCTCCAGGTGAGAGTGGAACAACGCTGAACGGGTGAGGCTCACGCCCAGCAGCGCCTCCACGATGTAACCAACGGTGCAGTCGTCCGGGAGACGAATGTGCTCAGCTGTCGCCATGAAAGTGCCATCACTAGACAGAGAAAGAAGTAAAGAGCGTAAGAAAGGAGGAGATCTGAGGATATGACTGACATGTCATTTATCTAAGTGAAGATTTACCTCGCCCAGGGTTTCATCTTGAGAGCGAGGCCGTGGCTCAGACAGAATCCTGCTCCTCCTGTGGCGAACCAGAAACGCACCTGCTTCTGTACACAAACACACATAAATTATGAATAAAGGAGCTGTAATACATCACTGTATGTTGTGCTGCAGTGCTGGGACCAGTAAGGGAAAAACCAGTGTAGATCTCACTCTGTGGGTAGCTGATCCCAGGAGACAAGTGAACATTCCTTTAATTGCATTTAATGTTTCTTGTGTAACTTGAAGAATATTTTTAAGAAGCTAGAGGCTACCCAGGGACTGAGATCAAGATGCATATTTTAGCAGCGGAGCAGGGAGTATGCATGTCATTATTTATTCATTATTATTTTTTTACTGGTGCAATACCCCAACCGGTCGAGGCAGATGGCCGCCCACTTAGAGCCGCAGTCTGCCCGAGGTCTCTCTCGTAGAAGGTTTTTTCTTGCCACCGCTGCCAAAAGTTTGGTCATGATGGGAACTGTTGGGCCTCTGTAAATAATTTAATAAGGAGTATGGTGTGACCTGCTCTATTTGAAAAGTGTCCTGAGATCCTGAGAACCATTTTTAACAATCAAAAAAAAAAAACGGCAATAAAAGGCAGTAATTAATAATAAATAGGGGAATGTTTACCATGTCAGTGGTGCCAAGCTTCTCTGTGGCCTCTATTGGGCGTTCGAGGCTCGGCCGGCCGATGTAAACGTCCTGTGTGTGACTGTACTGAGACAAGAGCTTCAGGAGGGAGCCGACGTTCACGTAGTTATCATCGTCGACGTGACAGAACCACCTACAACAGATGAGGCTGAGAGTTAGTAAAATGCTCTTTGTGTGCGTTTGTAACAAGTGTGTGTGTGTGTGGAGTGTGCCTTACTTCTTGTCGGAGTTGATAAAGGTGTCATATTCCAGAGCCATTTTACAGGAGAGGGCCTGACGATTGTGGGCTGATGAACAGTTGGTGTTGATCAGGTGAGCTCCTGATAAACAATAACATAACAAAAAAATCAATTACCAACCCTGACACAGTAACACTTTGAAAGAA